GAAAAGTGTATCAGCAGCTTTGAAGGCATCTGTGGGCTGGAAGACTAATGTAAAAAAAGGCAGCAATACCAGTAGCTGCTTATGTTTTTAGTATTCAATGTTAAATTTGAAACATTAAAAAGCCTCACTGATCTTTTACAACTATGAAATAAATACCAAAACAACTTGCTGAAGTTAATGCATATAACATTTGTAAGTCATACTCAACCACTGTAATTCAGGCAGAGGTCTCTTTATTTGGACATAAAGACTCTTGGACATTGGACTCTTTAAATCTCATCTATTGTTCATTATTTTTTGAGCTTTTAAAAGCTCATTTTATTTTCCTAGTAATTTAATATGAATAAAGGAAATGGGCAGCACCAAGGTGATACTCAATGTAATATACCTGACTGTAAGCAGCTTCTGAGCAACTAAGAGGTGGTGAGGGGAAGCTGTAAGGAGTTCCATGTTGTTGGAGAATAGTGGAGGAGAGAATTAAAAGGTGGGCATGCATCAGATCATGCAGGGACAAACTTGTAAAGGGCTAAGACAGAAGACCTCAACTTTATTCCGTAGGCCAGGGTGTCAAACTCATCTTCATGGGGGCCACATCAGCCTCACGGTTGCCTTCAAAGTCCCAAATGTAATTTCCACTCCTTAACAGTTAAGGAGTAGTTATTTATACAGTTCTAAAATTATTTTGGTCCTTTGAAGGCAACTGTGAGGCTGATGTGGCCCCCGGTGAAAATGAGTCTGACACCCCTGCCGTAGGTGCTGAAAGCCATTAAAGGGTTTCCAGCACGAACCATTTATGTTTTAAGAAGATGTCTATGGACAACTGATTGGAGGCGAAGAAAGGAGGGAAAAAGACTAGACAAAAGATATCTGAAATAAGTGGGGGCAAGATACAGAGGAGTATTATTAATCAAGAACTCTTACTGCTAGTGACAGAAAACCACCCCAAATTAGCTTAAGCCAAAAGGAATTAATTTATAAACTCACAAAATTATATCATCAGGAAATCAGACTGCCTACAGAGTGCATTGCCTGATAAACGAAATCTATTATGAAATACTTATCCCATAGTTCCTTCCAAAGTGAACTTTTTGGAATCTTAAAACAAATCTTTCGACTCTTTGTTTCAAATAGAAATTTGTTAGGATAATTGACCGCACACCACATTTATTCTTTATCCAGAGCCAAGCTTTGCGCTGCTAGCTGGTGGATATTTATGTTGGTGGAAAAAAGGAAAAACAAAAAGAAACCTGACAACCTTCACTTTCATAGATCTTAAATCCACAAAAAGAAAATTTTCTTAAAATTTTGTGAAACCTTCTGTAATCTAAGTCTCAGTTTTCTCAGTCATAAAAAATCCTGTTGTAAAGATTAAATAAACAATCTTACTTTTAAAATCACTAAGTCTCCAAGAATAAACACAGAACACTGGAATACTTTTAGGTTTCCATGAATTGAAAATCTCAAGCACTTACGATTTTATAATAGCAGAATATAATCCTGGGCATTAAATATAACACATCCTGGAAAATTCAAAGACTGGAGAAATGGGAATCAATACTTCTAAACAAAAATGAACATTTCTTATAGAAATTCACTAAATTCTAATTTCTAATTTTAGTAATTTCATTACTAAATATGAAATCAAGAGGTTTTTGAAAGGGCCCAACACATAAGCCTACCTATAGCAAACCAAAAGGATAAAAAAGCTAACGCTAGTTAAATTCTCCCAATATTTATTTAGTCTTCTAAACAATCACCTATTTATTTTATCCTTAGAAAACTTTCCCACATTCACCCAAAGTGACTATACAGCAGTAAATAAATAACGAACATCATTACTTATGTTTACATTGACTTTCAACCAATTTCAAAACTCGGAAGAAAATTCAACAATATCTTTTGTAATATAAAATGTTCTTAACAAAAGACATTTATGTAGTACTCACAAAAATACTTTCCATTTACCAATGCGTTAAAATTTATAACCACCAGGAATAGATAGGATCTACTTCTTGTCAGACTGTCAAGTCTTCTCCCACCCAGTAACAGTATGAAATACTTGTTGTACTCGAATCCTGAACTACCAATGCTTAGGAATTCAAATAATTTTAAGTTAAAAGATCCTTCTCCCTGGTAAAGCCATGGAATCTCAAATCTCCTCATCGAGGCTACATTACGATACTCAAAGCATAAAATATAAAAACAATGTCCAATGCCCATTAACAATGCAAAAGTGTCTAACACTTGTATGATTCTAGTGCATAAAATTTACAAACATCAAATGAGAGGCTAAAGTATTGTAACTGTGGTTTACAGAATGCCATAAAAGATCTTTTTGATCCTTTTAAAGCAACATTAAATCTTCATGAAAAGCGAAGCATAATTGCATTTTGAGAATATGATCTGTAATGTAATACAGGAGCTTAACGTCACTTACATATAGTGAAGGCCTGTAATGACTAAGCCAGGTAGGCCCTGGCTTATCAGACTTTAATTTATTTTATACCATACCCGTTTTTCCCTTTGTTAAGTATAGATTCACCAGCTTTTCACTATCAATATATTAATTTTTAAAAAATTACTGTTTAAGTTAGAATGATTCAGCAACTAAATCTAAATCCAAGAGCAAAAAATGGAGCTAATATTATTTCTAAAGCAACCAAATTCTCATTCAAGAAAATCTAACTGTAGAGCCAAAGAGTAATTTGTTTCTATTAAGGAATTCAATAAAATATGTTATGAAATTGACCATTTGAAAAATAATTTAAAATAACAACCATATAAATCAGTGCCTACATTTTATAATTTTGCTTTTATTTTTTAGTACATGAAAACCATTCTGGTTCACTTAATTTTAACAGTTTCATAATTTAAATAATGTAAGAAGATACTAGCCTTCCTAATCCTTACCTTTTTAAATTTCTTGACTTATTACCTGCAAACAATAGGGAACAGAGCTTGCCTCTACTCTTCATTCCTTTTCACTAACATTTACTCACAGCTTGAATAAAACATTATGATTTTTACAAAATTAACAGCTGTAATAAGAGCAGTACTTACTAAATTTTATAGCCATTCTCTCTCATCTTAATACAAAGCTCTTTTAACCCTCTTTGTTTAAAATTTCAGAGGTTTTGGGGGTGGGGAGTAGGTAAAATGCATTCTGAAATGGACACCAATTAAAAGTATGAGCAAAAATAGACTAATCTTTTTTCAATATTTGGTAATATAAGATCCTGAACTAATGTTAACTGAAAAAAAAAATCAAAACCAGACTGTAACAGTTCACACCCTGAAAATGTGGCCTATATATCCTAAAAATATATAATCTATAAATAAATACATATAAAATACAAAAATCACACTTGACATTTAGACTTTCAATCCTGAATTCTGCCAACTGTCTCATCATTTTCATTTCAAAATCTATTTTATGTTTCAGAAAAATAGCCTTCATCCTCTGTATTCTAAAAATAGACTCCTACTGTCTCTCTTACAAAAAACAATTACGTTTGGTTACGAGACCTACCATATCAGTCACATCGGCAATACCTAAAATTCCTATTTAACCTCATTTTTGGCAATCAAAAAGGTAACTAAATATAAAGAAAATCTTACCTATATGCTGCATTTTCTTTCAAATGCAATATGGTTAGATTCCCCTTCTACTTAATCAGTACAGTGTCTGAACATTTTTCAGTCTGACTTGCAAATATTTGCTTTCCCTCTTAGGGCACAGCATCCGCAGGGTTATACAGCACTACTTACATTCTCTTCCACATAAAAATCAGACATTACATGAAAGGAAAAGAAAGACAGCCCATTTCAAAGCATCTGGCAAACCTCCATTGGCAACCTGCCAAGCCTCTGCTAAACCTTCCTGTCTTTCCGAGCATGCTCACTTAAAACCAACAGCATGTTACTATGGCAACTCTGTAGGCAGCCTCTAAGTATGAACCGCCATTCTGATTTCAGAGTGCATAAAACCAAGTACTGCAGGGGAAGTAAAAGGTGAGATGTGTTGTATGTCTTTCATCACACACAACTATACTAATTTTATTTCATAAATGCATTTTTGCATATGTAAAACAGAAACACACATTCCACATTTTTCAAGCAAATATTTTTCATGTTCAAATAGGTCGTCTTTTTCAGTAAACTCATTCTCTTTGTCTGCCTCTAAGCCTCTTTACCTCATAACCACCAAAATATACAGAACAATTAATCCCATTTGACAAAACACTGCTGAACAGACAACAATATCCACATAAGTAATTGTGAGGAACTCCACAAGTGATTTCCTGCAATTTACAAATATATTCTAAATGACATGTTAATATTATAAAGAAAACCATCATCACTTAAAAAAACACAAGCTAAATCTTTTCTATGATTTGTCAAACTGCCAAAAAACATATTCTTTCAGTTTGGATAGAATTTTTTTTATACCCATTACCCTTGAGATACTGTGAAAGGTAGGAGAAATGATTTTTGGAGTTAGATCAGAATTAGGGTTCCAGTCCTTGTTCTCCACATTTAAGCTGCGCCACCTTGGGCAAGTTACTTAACTTTATGACCCTCACTTTCCTCACCTTTAAAGTAGGATCATACCAGTTACTTTCCACATGGTAAAAATTTAAATAAGTTAACACATGTAATATACCTAAACATTACATTTCTTTCCTCCTTGGTTGTTTGGGAAAGATACTAAACAAACAAACAAACAAACCTACATACAAACATCAAAATACAAGTTTATACTGATTAATCTGTAAAGCTGTTCTTTTTAACCTCTTACAGCTAAAAATTAGTTCTGATTTACTCGCTACTAAGCTAGAAGCAAAAACAAAAGAAAACCCTTTCCCTTAAATCGAGTAGAGCTAGAAAAAGACAGAAACAAATAAATACAAAAACTCTGAACAGAGGGGAAAATATACAAACGTCTAATTTTTAGAGTATTAAAATGTTTTTATATGTCACAAACACAAAATTTCACCTACCACCTCTTCTTCTTCCTTTTTGGTCTCCTTTTCCTTCTCTTCTTCATTTTCTTCAGCTGGGCCATCTTCATCATCACTGCTGGATGACTCAAGGATTTCACTTATATCCATTTTCCAATTATCAGGAACAACTCTAGCTTTTAAGAAGATGCTTGCTTTCTGCAACCCTAAGATTAAAAATATACTTTAGCAGTTTTTATTTGCTAAAATAAATAAGCAGCACAGAATAATAGACAGGCATTAACATTTAATCAGAAGATCTGGATTTAAATTTAGTTGTCACTTATAAAACAATACAATAAACTCGAACATATATTGTAAGTTATAATGTCATATTAATACTTATTATTACTATAAAAAGTACTTTTAGAAATCTGAATGGCAAAATATGAAAAGTTATACTTATCAAAAATTATAAATCATATGTTCTTTCTAGACATTAAAAAATAGCCATCAAATAGAGTGGGTATCAACTCTAAACAGTTAAAATGGCAGCAAAGAATACTCAGTCTTGCTTTACTGACTATTTGCCATTTAGAGCCACATCATGAAATAATACATTGATTCATCCTTGTTTTACCTGGTTTAGCAGAGAGCTCAGATTCAGGCAGATTAAGAATGTCTACTTCCTTGATATCCTTTCTTGCTATAGAATAACTAATTATAGAGAAGGATAAAAGGGAGGCAACCATTATTAAGTAAAAATCATCACTTAAATAGTCCATGTTAACATATAGAAAAATACAAATCTCAAATTCAAAATTATTTTGTCTACCAAATGTTTTAAAAAGACCACATATATCCTAATCCTTAATAAAGAGAAAAAGTAATAGAGACAAAGCTAGTATCTTAATTCTGATGATTCACATATTCTAAGTATATTAATGAGAGCCACACAATTGTGATATTTCAACCTATGCAGCTCTCCTACACACAGTATGGGGTACTTTATATCAGCATGATGTTTTCCTTACAGGAAACAACAATGTCTGTTTTGTTCTTTAATATTTCTTATATTTACTATTCAGTTTAATAAAGTAATAGAAGGTAATATTAAAATACATTTATCATTGTAAGGTACTATGTCACTAAGTTTTTCCAAGAATTACAACTCGTGTGTGTGTGTGTAATTTTATATCTTTTTTTGGAAACAAGGCAAAGCTAAGGTTAAGAAAAGCTTCTAAAAGTCTGACTTTCAATCAGAAAAAAGTCGAAGTAATTATTCCAGTTATATGTTTTATTTAATAGTTTCATAGTTCAAGTGTTGCAGGTTCGATTCCCAGTCAGGGTACATGCCTGGGTTGCAGGCCATGAGCCACAGCAACCGAACATTGATGTTTCTCTCTCTCTCTCTTTCTCCCTCCATTCCCTCTCTAAAAATAAATAAATAAAATCTTAAAAAAGGTTTCATAGTTCATAATATATTAATAGTAAACACGATATACAGAATTTTTAAAATTAAAGAGAAAAATCAATATCAATAGTGCTCTATTAAAAAAGTGTTTTTACTATTATTCTTATATATTATTTATTTTTATAGTTTTCCAATAAAAAATAAACTAAATTATGAAAAGTCAAAACATATTAAGTAACTCAGTTCATATAGTGATTAAACTTATAAAAATAAAGTGTTGGAGCTGGGAAGTTTCTATCACTGTGATTCCATTTTTTTTTTCCCTCCCAATGTAACACAAGAAGTGATTCATTACTCACAATTTAGAATCGACAAATGATCGAACTAAACATTGGTCTTTTTTCACTGTGATGTCATCATTGCAGCTGGGAGATACTACCTAAAATATAAAATAAGAACACATTCATTCTTCTTTTCCTTGCTCAAAAAATATATTCTCAAGTGGATTATATTTTATAAGAAATAGCTTCACCCTGGCTGACGTAGCTCAGTGGATTGAGCGCGGGCTGGGAACCAAAGTGTCCCAGGTTCGATTCCCAGCCAGGGCACATGCCTGGGTTGCAGGCCATGGCCCCCAGCAACCGCACATTGTTGTCTGTCTGTCTCTCTCTCTCTCTCTCTCCCCCCCTCCCTTCCTCCCTTCCATCTCTAAAAATAAATAAAAATAAATAAATAAATGCTTAAAAAAAGATTAAAAAAAAAGAAATAGCTTCACTATCAATACCTTCCATTATTAATGAATGACTTGTAAAAGAAGATCACCTTATAATTTTTCTTTAGCATATTAATTTTTTATATATTTAATTTATCTGTTCATTAGATTATAAAACAAATAATTAATGAAATATAAATTACAATGCAACCACCACTTAAAAAATATTAGAATTTACCCTAAATCAAATAGTAACTCATTTATGGTCCAAAAATAAAGTGATGAAAATTTGGCATATTATAATTTTTAAAAATATACCTGAATCAGAATCTATTTTGAAATAAACATCTAGCTTGCCAGAGTTCCGGCCAAGATGGAGGTGTAGGTAGAAACCCTTCACCTCCTCCCACAATCAAAAGGAGGATAACAACCAATCTAAAATCAATAAACAACCGGAAGTGCCAGAAAATCAAACTGCGTGGAACTGCAACAACCAAGGAATTAAAGAAAAAGTCAAACAGAACAACCGAACCGGTAAGAACCCCAGGCAAAGCAGAGGACTTGCAGTCAGGGCTGGCTGCAGCAAGGGGGTGGACCCCACAGGTGCATCTGGGTGAAGGCGAAACTGAGACTCAAGAGCTGATTGTGGACTCCAGAGGTTGCCGCAGTGGGAGAAGCTCCAAGTCTCACACTAGAGAGTTCATTGGAAGGTGCACTACAGACGAGCAGGTGCACTGTTCCCTCTCTGGCCCCTCCCCCACAGGCAGCATCTCAGAGCAGCAAGGAGGGTTGCCCTGCCCTGGTGAATACCTAAGGCCCCGCCCCCTTACAACTTAACAGGGGCCCTGAGAAAAGAAATAGGGCCCAAATGAAAGAGCAGAGCAAAACCTCAGAAAGAGAGCTAAGTGATGAGGAGATAGTCAACCTATCTGATGGAAAATTTAAATCCCTGGTAATCAAAATGCTTACAGAACTGATTGAGCTTGGTTGAAAAATGAAAAAACAAATGAAAGATACCCAAAATGAAATAAAGCAAAATATTCAGGGAACCAACAGTGACAGGAAGGAAACCAGGACTCAAAGTAATGATTTGGAACAAAAGGAAGAAATAAACATCCAACTGGAACAGAATGAAGAAATAAGACAAAAAAATGAAAAGAGACTTAAGAACCTTTGGGACAACCTGAAATGTTCCAATATCTGAATTATAGGGGTGCCAGAAGGGGAAGAACAGCAGCAAGAAATTGAAAACCTATTTGAACAATGAAGGAAAACTTCCCCAATCTGGTGAAGGAAACAGACTTCTAGGAAGTCTAGGAAGCTCAGAAAGTCCCAAAAAAGTTGGACCCAAAGAGGAACACACCGAAGTACATCATCATTAAGTTACTCAAGATTAAAGATAAGGAGAGAATCCTAAAAGCAACAAGAGGAAAGGAAACAGTTACCTACAAAGGAGTGCCCATCAGACTATCATCTGATTGCTCAAAAGAAACCTTGCAGACAAGAAGGGGCTGGAAAGTATTTGAAGTCATGAAAGGCAAGGACCTATATCCAAGATTACTCTATCCAGCAAAGCTATCCTTTAGAATGGAAGGACAGATAAAGTGCTTCCCAGATAAGGTCAAGTTAAAGGAGTACATCATTACCAAGTCATTATTATATGAAATGTTAAAGGAATTTATCTAAGAAAAAGAAGATTAAAAATATGAACAGTAAAATGACAACAAACTCATAACTATCAACAAATGAACCTAAAAGAAAAACAACAAAAACAAAAACTAAGCAAACAACAAGAATAGGAACAGAATCAGAGAAATGGACATCACATGGAGGGATTTCAGTGGGGAAGGTACAGGGAAGAAGCATAATTAAGAGGCTTAAAATAGGCAAAAATAAAAATGTTACAGGAAACAGCAAATTCAAAGAACTTATACATACAACCCATGAACATGAACTAAGGAGGGGCAATGCCAGAGGGTTGGGGGGGTACAGGGCAGAGTGGGGATAAAGGGGGAAAATTGGGAAAACTGGAATAGCATAATCAAGAAAAAATACTTAAAAAAAAAACACACCTAAGTTCCTTTTCTTATCAGGGCATGTACAATTTTTAGTAATTAATCCAAATCTGAGAAAATCTGAGTAAAGAACTTTTTAACTTAAAAAAATAACAAATGCCTTAACATTAGTAAATAACTATTCATATATTTTATATATAATTTAGCATTTTTAAGAGATTAAAGTCTACTGATAAATAGCAAAAATGTATCTGCTCATTATCACCCCTAACACTAGTCCTTTTACTACAACCTAGTACCATTCACAAGACTTTGTTCAATGATGAAAATCTTCTATATCTGCATTGACTAATACAGTAGCACTGAACCACATGGGGCTGAGTGCTAGAAATGTGGCTAGTGCAACTTAGAGATTGAATTTTTAATTCTATTTAATTTTAAGTATTACATTTAAACTTTAATAGCCATATAGGGCTCATGGCTATCATATTAGACAGCATATACTCAGATAATTAAAAATTTTTGACAGTCATATCAGCTGTCTTAACAGCAAATGAAAGTAAATGTTTGTTAAATGCTAGTATTTATTAGATTTAATGTATTTGTGTGTCCTCAAGGAATTAAGAGTATGATAAAGTGGTAAACACAAAAAGAACACAATAAAGGGTAAACACAGTGATACTCTAGGCTCAGGATGATATGAAAACACTGTAGGAGGAAGATGCAACATAACCTGGGAAAGGAAAGGGTGTGTCAGTAAAGGCTTAAAATAAATCTTAAAAGATGATTAGGCACAGCCTAAAGCTTAATTATCTCACCTATGAGCCACTCTAATGGCCTCCAAATTGATTCCTGTCATCTCCAGTCTTTCAACAACAATTTAACATGCCATTTCCTCATTAACATTCTTAAACATGCAGCTCAAATAATGTCACTTTTCTGTAAAATTCTGTGCAGAATTATGTCCAAATTCCTTAGATGAACTTTTTGTTTTAAATCCTCACCCAAGGATATGTTGATTTTTAGAGAGAGAGGAAGGTAGAGGGTGGGTGGCATAGGTGGAAGGGTGCGGGGGAGGGAAGGAGAAAGAAACATGAGAAACATCAATGGCCACCTCTTGCACACACCTGGATGTGGGCTCGAACCCACAACCCAGGTATATGCCCTGACTAGGAACTGAACCCATAACCTTTTGGTGTACATGACTATACTTCACCAATTGAGCCAACCTAAATGAACTTTTCAAGACTCTTCAGCACTATATCCAAACTATCTTCCCATTCCTACTATTACTCCCATACTCACAACGAAATGGATTCTGAGATCAAACAGTTCCATGAACAAACCCCTTGCTTTTTCGCTTTTATTTATGTTGTTGCTTCTACGGAAATCCTCCAGTGAGACACTGCTTACTAATTTTAAACCCTTCAAGGCTCAATTCAAAAGTACCTGATTCATAAATGCATTCTGGCTTTTCTCTAAATAGATGTAACCTCCCAGGACAAATCATATTATGGAACATATACTATTTTATATTGTAGTTACTTGGATTATTCTCTGTATTAGACTATAAAATCATCAAATTTAGATTGGTGTTTTACTCATCTTTTATTTTTCTATCACCTGATAAATCATAAATGTTGATAAAAAAATTATTTTTTTCTAAATCTCTTGGCAAATTATGACCTGAATATTCTGAATCCAAACCAATTTCCTTATTTGCCTGTACAAGTGAATGATTCAAAAGATTTTCAGACTTTTCCTATGTAAAGTAAATCTATTACATAGGAACTGAGTAATGTATTTACATGTACAAAGGACCCTAAAAAGAAATAGCCTAAGTTCTCCAAAAGATTCTAATCTAATTTGGGATACATTTTTGTGCCAAAATTATTACTAGAGATGTGAATGACATCAAAACTCAGAAAAGCCCTGGCTGATATGGCTTGGTGGGTTAGGCATTGTCCTGCAAACTGAGGGGTCGCTGGTCCAATTCATGATCAGGGCACAGGCCTGGGTTGCGGGCTGAGCACCCCTATTGGGGTCGTGCCACAGGCAACTGGTCAACGTATCTCTCCTTCTCTTTCTCCCTTCCCTTCTCTCTAAAAATAAATAGATAAAGTCTTAAAAAACAAACAAACACCCAAAGCTCAGAGAAAACAGGTATATTTATGTTAGTGTTTAGGGGAAATTGCAAAAAAGGTCAGACTTGGGTGGGATCTTAAGAAATATTTTAGAAGGGAGAAATAAGAAAAGTGTAGACAGGTTATTACCAAGTATTAATGATGCTTCTCATGAAATGAATCTCTTGTCCATCCATTCTTCTTATTCCTTCTCCCCGTAACCAAAGATAAATTTTTTCTACCAACCCATCTAAGACTTGCATTTCCAGAGCCTGGGTGTACTTTTTCCTTCCCTAGTACTCCCTGTCTTGTTCCAGTGTCTGCACCATGTTTTTAAAATTACAATGTAATTGCCCTGGCCAGGCAGCTCCATTTGTTGAAGCATTGTCCCAATAGTCAAGGTATAGGTTCTACCCTTGAATAGGGCACATACAAGGATCAACCAATGAATGTATAAATAAGTGAAACAACAAATTGATGTTTTTCTCTCTTAAAAAAAAGAAAAAGAGAGAGAGAGGAAAAAAACCCATCACCAACAAAAAAAGACGCTCATTGCCCTGACCAGTGTGACTCAACTACTGGTTGTTGTCCAGTAAGGCAGAAGGTCATTGGTTCGATTCCCAGTCAGGGTACAATCCTGGGTTGTGGGTTCAGTCCCTAGCTGGGATGCATGTAAAAGGCAACCAATCCATGTTTCTCTCTCACATCAATGTTTCACTCCCTTGCTTCTACTTCCCTTCCCGTCTCTAAAAATAAATAAATAAAAATCTTGAAAAAAAAAAAAAACCCTCATTAATTTAAAATAAACAAAATTACAATACAATTTTGATTTACTATGCAACTTCTTTTAGCATATAGTGAGCTTGTGTTTCAAGTCTCATGCCTCTCTCTCTTGCAGGGAACTTGGAATAAACCTGAACGCACTGCAGATCCCCAGTAAATACTAGTGCTTTAAAGCAGGGGTAAAGGCTTGGAGGAGTGAAGTATCTTACAGAAGGAGTACTTAAGAAAGAACACGAGTAAAAGAGAGAGCTTACTCTGGGAATGGGAATGGGAAAGGGCTAGAGATGGCCTCAAATACTAATTTAAGAAAGCATAATTGATTCATTAGGCAGAGTCAGTGAAGGTTTTTGTTTTGTTTTGTTTTGTTTTAAATTGGGACTATCATGATTAAATCTCTAAAGAAGTTACTGCTAGAAAACTAATCTAAATTTAGTAAAAAAATAATAATCAAGTTAAGGGAATTTGGAGGGAGTTACTACAGATCAGGCATAAAGCAGTAATGAAAATAGGAAAAAAGACCACTAACACATTTTAAAGGAACAATCGAAAGATCCCAATAAATAACCCACTATAGAGAATTAAAGAAAGGAAATAAAAGAAGAAAGTGAAGTATGTGGGACCTAAGTATGGTTGCTAATTTTGCAATAAAGTCCAAAGTAAGTTTGTGTAATACTTTCAAAATATTTCAAATGCTTCCTAAAAATCCATATAAAACAAATACATTAAATGGTTAACTTTAGAAAGAAACCTTACTTACCAAAGCAGGATACCATTCAGTCTTCTCAGAAGCAGATACTACACTTACAACTTTTCCTAGTAATTCATCATTGAGACGTCGTTTATCTTCATCCTCCTCTTCACTAGTTTCTTCTTCTTTTTCATCTTCATTACTAAAGTTAGAATAACTTCATCATGATCTTAACACAAACCATTTTTGATACCGTCAGAATGGTACAAATTTAACATAAATAGTGTCATTTCTAATCTGGACTACCCCAGAATAAAAGCCTTTTTATTCTTATTAGGACTGAAGAGCTGGATACTTCTTGGCCCCACAGAAGTGGTCCTGAGCTGTCCATGGTAACCCTGAGTCCATTTCACCAGATCAGCGAGGACACAGGCTCTCCAGCCAACCACCCTAATTATGTCACCATTAAGTACTTACTTTACCATATACATTTTTTAAGAGACTGCCCTTCAACTTTTTAATGTATGCCAGATGATGTAACTCTAATTTTCTAACAGGTTATGAAAAGATCTCATTAAAATACACTCAAGGGTTTATTTAGACAACCTCTCTGGATAACTAAACAATGAGACAAACCTGTGCTAAGGAACAATGTATAGAACAACTGGCCTGTACTCTTCAAAAATGTCAGTGTCACAAAAAGACAAAAAAAAAAAAAAAAGGCTGAAGAACTTTCCCAGATTAAAGGAGAATTAAAAATCATATAAACTAAATGCAATGCACGATCCTGGATTGCATCCTGGAATCAGGGGATGCTATATTTGAGGCAATTGGAGAGATCTGAAATATGAAGTATATATTATTAGATAACAGTATTCTATCATGTTAAATTTGCTGAATTTGGTAATTGTACTCTGGTTATTTAAGAAAATGTCATTGTTCTGTCACAGGTAAAGTATTTAAGGGTAAAAGGTCATGATGCATGCACCTTCCTCTTAAATGGTTCAGCCAACTAAAATTAGTATTATTAAATAAAAATAATTAATATGTATCTATAAAGAGAGGGGATGATGACAGATATGCCAAAAATGTTAATAATTAGTGAATCTAGATGAGATATGAAAGTTTATTGTATATTCTTAAAAATTTTAAGTTTGAAATGTTTTTGAAATAAAAAGATTAAAAATATACATATAGTCATTTAATAGGGGAAAATCGTCATATCGATTATATTTTTGGCAAAGTAACTCAAAACAAAAATAACCTCTTTGAAAAAGGAGTTGTGATAATTACTGGACAAAGCAATGGGAAAAATTAAGAACAAGGTGGACTCAGTGATATGTCTAACATAAGAATACAAGATACTATTGAAAAGTTACCCAAACAGATTTAGCCATACTAGAAAAGTTATCTGCTTAATGTTATAATAATTACTGTAATTTACTGTATATGATAATACTCACATAGGAAGAGAGGACCTCCTTCCTCTATTTGTCTTCTTTGCAATTACTGGAGTTCCAAAATGCTCTGGATTTGTTAATGGAAGCTGGTCAAGTGTCTAGATAAGAAACACATACATTAAATCACATGTTGCTCTACCTGAGTAGCCTTTGTTCAACCCCAAAAGTCCATGTCCCCCTACCTCACTCTCAGCAAAGTGTCTCTCTCCTTTTAGGCAAAGTGAGGTGCGTCTCAATGTTCTCTCATCACCATCATCAAACACTACAATAAGCAAAAGAGAAAAAATTTATGCCCACAAATAAAAATTTAACTGCACAGAATACTATTATTGCTATTTATCTAGGGTTTAATATTTGCAAGAACCATTATTTGTTATTTTTCAAAACCTTTTAAAATGTACAAAGCACATTTTCATTCTATAACAAACAAACAGGCACTAAACAAACAGATCAAGAGGCTGTCCCCAAATACTTAAGTGTCTACATTCCATTTTTCAGCTTCTAACACCACAGAACCACCTTCTTAAACCATCAGCAATATATTCGAAGGACAGATATTAAATTACCTCTACTCCTAGATGAATGAGCAAAAACTTGGTTAAAAAAAAGAAGTATTATGGGTTTTTTCAAGTTATCAATGGAGTATCTCTAACTTTAAGAAACTTTTGATAATGATGTTGGATTATTCTACTGCTTCTACTTATTTGTATGATAACCTGCTATAGCAGATTCTAAAGTCGTAAGATTCAACTTTTGTCTTTTAGTAGAAGAGGATGTAAGAAGTTTAGACATAAATGTTAAAATGAGGAAATAATCAGAAGGATGAAATTTTTTAAAAAATTAAAAAATAAATGAAAATTACATGTAAGTTTTCTCTAAAGCTTTTACTTCTACTATAGTTTTTAGCTTTGGCTGATGTGGCTTATTGGACTGAGCACCTGCCTGCAAACTGAAAGGCCACCAGTTCAATTCCCCTTCAGGGCACATGCCTGAGTTGCACACCATAGTTGGAGGGGTGCAAGGAGCAAAGATCCACGTATCTCTCCATCTTTCTCCCTCTTTTCCCCCTCTCTAAAAATAAACAAATAAAATCTTAAAAAAAGGGAAAGTAACATAATAGTTTTTGAAAATCATACTTCTTGAAAACTATGTCCAAATATTTCAAGGAAATCGGGGTAAAAAATTTAACAACTAGTGTTTATATATAGCTAGCTTTATTATTTTGATAATTTTATAGGCTTAATTTTTCAGAAATGTACTGATTTTTAAAACTTTTACAGAGATTTTTTAAAAATGTTCTCAGAAGATACTTGACTGCCCAGTGCTATGAGGAAATAAAATATAAGATGGAATCCTTACCTCAGAAACTTAAAATGCAGACATATCAACAAATGTTTGTACATTTTATGAAAATAACACATACATGGGAAAAGCACATATATACAAAAATGTTTAAGATTTAACCTTATTTTCATAATTCTAGATGTTTTTCTATTCTAACAGAATAAGTTAGCGTTAAAAGAAAATTTTACATTACCTTGATTTAATAATATCTTACATCTTTTACCTTGTTATCTATACAATTACAATACTGGATTTTTAAAAAGGGTTGTTTTTATTGGCACCTTGCCTTCAAATCATAAACTTAATTTTTTACCCTAGAAACTTAATTATGTAGCAGCACTCAACTTCCTCAATATTTATCTACCTCAGTCAGTTTTTTTTAAACTAAAGACATCTAGTTTAGATTCTCTTACATGCAGCAGATAATGCAGAGACAAAAGCTCCTGAAGCACATATTCAAAGTAATAATCCCACAAATGTGGCTGTTTTATACACTATCAGTGATGCAGAAATTAATGACCACCTACAGACACCATGACAGTATAAGACAACACGCTTCATTCAACAATTACATCATTAATCTATACTTGATTAACAGTGCTCTAAACATTTGGATCAAAATTATGAGTTGCATAGTGTCTAATTTAATAAATAAACCATTGTTCTTTGTAAATCTCAAAATTGTAAAATTATCATACCAAACAAGATAATTCTTCACATTAGTGTTAATGTCCGTAAGTATGGTAAAGAATAAAATCTTACATGTTCCAACTGTCTTTAATGCCTACAATACTAAAGATGTTGACACTGGACATGGACATACATACTCATATACACACATTTAAGTAGAGGTGTGAGGAAGGAACATGAGAATGTAAGACCAGTTAATAATATCAAATCTATACAACAAATCTTTACCTCATTTTTAAAAAAGATGTTATTCATTTATTTTTAGAGAGGGGGGAATGGAGGGAGAAAGAGGGAGAGAAACATAAATGTGTGGTTGCCTCTCATGCACTCCCAACTTGGAACCTGACCCGCAACCGAGGCATGTGCCCTGACTTGGAATTGAACCAGTGACCCTTTGGTTCACAGGCCGGCGCTCAATCCACCGAGTCACACCAGCCAGGGCTTTACCTCAGTTTTTTTTATCATTAATCATTCCACTGGTCATATTTTACCACAAGTAAAATTAATGTTAAGAACAAGTGGAACTTCTCAAAAAGGGATTGTGGTACAAACAAGAATTTTATAGCTTTATATAGGAACAAAGAAAAACAGTATGAGACTTTTTTTTTAATTCATACAACTATACAAACTGTGCATTTGAGTACTTTATACAAGTTTGTTAAGCCATGTAACTTCTCAAGATTTTCTGCAAGACAAATAGAAAATCCAGCAACACAAGGGACCAATTAATCATGACATCCCTGGTTATCAAAATCATGCAGTTCCATCTACAAGAAGTTTTCTTCATAACTTCTAAGAATCATTTAAAAGAATATAAAATTTGTTGGCATTGAAGAGTGACTCTGGCATTTTGATAATAATTAACTGGTTTCTATAACAAATTTAACTTAAGTTGAAGATGTATACCACAGCATACCAAGAGAATAAAAGTAAGACTATTAGGATTTAGTAATTCTCTGGAATTGCTTACTCTTGCAAAAAGTGGTATTTAAATAGGTTATTCATTGAGTGCAACAGAACAGATACAATATAACAAAAGTAGTATCTCTGTTATTATGTTACATATAAACACTAAAACCTAATTTGAGAAAAATGATAAAGCCCAGACTCTCTTGATTAACATTAATCATTCTTGGCAAAATAATGCCAATGCAAAAAAATATACAAAGCCTAACCCTAAAATGTTAGAATTCAAAGAAAAAAACAACAAAGATCTGATCTAACTACTAAAATACAAAAAATCTACCTGTTATCATAATGCTGTTAGATGCTGGAAGATAGTAACAGAATTACAGTAAATTAACTTTATTTACCCACTATATAATTGGCTATCACTTATTAGCTGCTTCTATGTCCTGATCCTCACAGCAGCCTCTGCAAGATAGGAATCACTATCTTTTACAGACAAAGAAACGGAAAAGCAAAATGTTAATCAATGAGGTACAATTTAGTTAAGGATGATCAAAATGCATAATAAATAGGTATGAAGCAAAGGCATAAAATGAACATGAAAAGCAAGAATTCTGACTTTGGAATAATAAGTATTATCATTATGTCTGTGTATTATGATTACAATTAACAAACTATTTCACAAAATGGAATAAAAACTTTAAAATTAAAAATATACACACAGCCTGTTACTCATAAAATCATGAACAAGAACTACATAAGTCCCTCAACAACTAAGGTCAAAAACTTCAGGAACCTGGAAACTTAAGAAATTAACATTTAAATGTCTGATTAACAAAATATGGGAATGCTCAGTCTTATGGAAGGCTGTTTAAACAATGAGTTAAAGCCTATCACAGGATTGAATAGATTTCTTTTGTTGTTTAGTATTTTTTTCTTATTTAAGTCAGTGGAATAACCACCTACTTTTGAAAACGATTTATGGTTGCTTTGGTTATAAGAAAATTTGTCAGAAGAGGCTCCAACTAAATTAAAAGCCTTATAACTCTGCATGCAGCACATTCCAAAAAAGTCAGTCCATTCACCAGTTGAATCTAAACTAGAAATTCCACGAGATGATATAACTGATGTGCAAAACAGTAACTATAAGGCATGAAAAAAATTAAGAATTTTAAAAATAATTTGTCACAAAAATATATAAACTCTCAAGTAGATTTCAGTATTGGTTCACAACGGTCTAAACTACATATTCTAAACTACAGTATTTAAACAGCATTTTTCCCTTATTTTTCAAATTCGATGTTATTTTCATATTCAAAAAAGTAAAAGATGAGCACTTTTAGAATGTCTAATTGACAGTTGTATTTACCAGATGTTAATGGCAACGTTCAAGTGTAGATATAAAATCTATTCCCAATTTTGATACTTCGGAATGACAGGAGAGATAACAACACACTTCCATACACTACAAATTCCTTATCTTTAATGCAAGGAAAAGAACTGCCAAATGCATAAACCATGCTAGGATGCACTGTTTTATGATACGAGAGAGGAAATATTTTCAAGGTTCAAAAAACAAAAAGTCCAGTGCTGGAGCTATTTATTGCTCAACATTAAGAGGTAAGCTACTATTAAATTTTTAAAAGTTGAGTTATAGTAGTTCTAAAACCTCCTCTAAAATTGATTATTCAACTATAATAGGAATAATTAATAAATGTATTACATAAAGTTGATATCCCTGACTCATTGTTAACTTTTGATCTCCAGTGATCATTAATTCGTATTTTATCCAAACCAGCAGATATCCTTTGTTTTGTTTTTAATAATCTGATAATTTCAAGATCTCTTTTTAAAGTCATAATGAACATTCATACTTTGTGTAACTTTCTGTTTCTACCTATACAACACTATGAACTAGAAATCAAGAAAAATTGCAGAAAAGAGCAATTAAACCCAAGAGGTAGTAGGAACTCAATTAAAGAAAAATATAGGAAGTCCCCGACCTCTAAGAAATTATTTTATTTTGCCATCTCTTAAGGTCATTATATTCAAAGCATTCTTTATGTGGTCTACATTCCTCAATACCTAAACATTCTTTACAGGAGAGTGCTACATTGAATATACTTAAGTAAATAATGCCTCTTAATGCCTTAAATTGTTTAGGTCATTCTCTCTCATTAGACAGGTACAAAAATTTAAATATTTAATTTTTTCTCTTGAATAAATATCTGTTTGTCCAAGTATGGTTTGTTTTTCCAAGTGCATTGTAGCTACATTAAATTCAGCCATTGTGCATATAAAAAGAAAATGTCTTGGGTTGCCACCCCCAGATCTACTAAATTAGAGATTTGGGATCCTCAAACCTCATTTTTTAAACAAGCACCAAGTGATTCTTATGTACACTAATGATTGTGATATGTGAATTATATGCAATTACAATTCTAAGCTCTTTGAGAACAATTATACAATTTCTTCTGTAATTACTCATCATAGAAAATCACCATAGAGAATGCTCAGTAGCAACTTGTTCTTAGAAATGCTAAAATGTCTTTCATGTGAAGAGTAGAGATTGCTATTCATAATTTAAGGATTATTGTAGGGTCCAGAAACCAAGAATACGAAAACCTGAAAAGTATTGCTTCTGCAGAAGCGTGAGCACTGTATCAGTAAAACTACACAAGTATGGTGAATGCAACCTTGATATTGGGTACCAAATACAAAGCAGTATTAGTATTTTAACTTTCCTCATATAATTCCCCATGATTCTGAACATATCAACTCCTGTAAATTTTACCACTGCCTTTTTTATATAGCAAAACTGTATTTAATCTAGAAAAGTTAACATTAGTTTAATTTTTAAATCTCTAACAACTACCAATAACCACAACTAAGCTTCCTAAAAATACGTAGTTTAGAATAATAGACCATTGTGAACCAATACCAACTTCTAGGTCCAGGAATAAAAATGTCAGAGGCCCTGGCCAGGAAGCTCAGTTGGTTAGAGCACTGTGCTGATACACCAAGGTTGTGGGTTCAATCCCCAGCCAGACAGCATAAAAGAATCAACTGATAAAAGCATGGATAAGTGGGAGAACAAATAAGAGAGTGTTCTCTCTCTCTTTAAATCAATTAAAAAATTTTTTAATGGATAGAAAATAGTAGTTAAGTACTGTAAATCACTAGTAATACTAAAAAATCCCCAAGCAGTACAATTTTTAACCAAAGCGTGTTCTTCACAGCTTTGACCATCAACTGGAGATGAAAAAAACTAAAAGTAAAGCTAAGGGCCACGTCTCTTCCTTCTACAAGGAAACTACAACACTATCATTACTATTTATATCAAGACATAATGTAAAAACCAAACAGTGCTATACATTTTCAGTGTAAAACCAAGAATTGGATGTTATCCACAGGATTGTGTAGTTTGAAAGTACAGAGAGAAAATTTAGAAATGTTAATAGTTGATATTTTCATCACCATAATGACAGCAACTATGGAACTACATTTAGGTTTTAATTTATTTGTATCATGCCACTTGTTGCTACTCACTACAGTAAAGTATTTTTAAAGCTAGTATAAGCTTATGTATGGAACATAAGAGTGCATTCACATTAGTGGCATGTATCTTTGTTTCTTTCTCCATGTCATCCTTGCACAAGGGCCATGCTAATATTCTTTGTACCATTCCAATTTTAGTGTATGTAATGTGCTGCCAAAGTTATTATGTATATATCTTTCTTGAAAGGTGTTCGTAAAGAGCCCTCACTATACCCAATTTCAAAAATTAAACTACAATTACCTAGGCTTGAATCTACTCTGGTCAAAATATTTTTAGTCTTTAAATTCTATGTTAGCATCTACACTACCCTTATATAAAATAGGCCGCAATACAAAAAAAGATAGCAACTATTCAATCTTAATTGTAATTACAGAAAAAGTTTAAAAACCTGATTATTTATAATACTAAGTTGTATTGACTTTTCTTATGGAACAAAAATAACCATACTTTAACTTTTAGTTTCTTTTCAATTTAACTTTATTGAAAAGAAATATCAAGATAACCTGAGAAGTATATTCTTAGATGAAACAGCCACAAATGGCCAACTTATTATGAGATTTATTTTTGTTACTGGAAGGGTGCCATAATTTTAGCCAACTATATCAAGTAATTTGACAGGAAAGAATATGAATTCTTCTGCCAACAGAGTGATTCAGTGTATTTACAAAATAGAGGTATATGCAACTCTCAAATGGTTAAATTACTACTTAACTACTTACCCACAGTGTACCAACTAGCATCTGTCAACTTGCTGATAATAGCTTCCTGAAAAGATCCATCAGATGTCCTTGTTTCAACAATAGCTCCAACCTACAACACAAAATCAAAATTTCATTACCAAATTTAAACAAACCAAATCACTATTGTGTGCGTACCCCCCTCCCCCAAATCTTAGAATAATTCTAATTTTCATTGGCTTAAATCTTTATCACTCACAGTGCTCATGTATTTATTGTGCAATTTAAGCCCCTCTTTGGTATAAGGAAGGAAGCTATTATTACCCACACTTTACACACTGAAAACTGTGACTCAGAGAAAATAATTTGCAGAGTACAGGGTAGAACCCAGTTACTTAAGTCTTACTTCAGAGCTTTTCTACTATAACCCACCGTCTTAAAAAAAACAACAACTGTGGAATATAAGAACTGAAAAACCATATGACACTGCAAAATTAGCTCCAGTTTTCTTTCATAGAAATATTAGAGTCAGCATTTGTATTTAAGAGACCTTTTGTATTAAAGATTCACCTGGAAAGAGCATTGGACCAACTGAACTTCTTTCAGCTTCCAGACCTTTGTATACTAGATATTAACCAAAGTAGTACTCAGATATAACAAAGGTTACATAAACAAATGGCCAGAAATAAACAGAAAACATAAGTATCCATTCAACTGAATTAAGAAGTCAACATAGTTTACTTGGGAAGGTGGAAAGAAAAACACTAGATTCAGAGTTGTAATATTAGTATATTACTTAGCAAGCTAAACATATATGACAACAATATAAAAAACAAAATGGAGCATTCAATCCAAGAATTAAAAAAAGGCGGCTCAAAAAATCATGTTTTTATATATTAAATTATTATTTTGTAAGATGTTTAACATTCTTAAGGACACAGCCATTGTAGTATCATAGTTTATACCAATTATACAATATCACATTTGTATTTTTGTTCTCTGGTTAACCTTACAAAAATTTCAAACTGTTATCTACAGATGTAAAAAATCTCTAAGTAATGTATGAATTCACCATTTCAGATTTTATTGTTTTTTAAAGATTTTACTTATTTTAGAGAGAGGGGAAGGAGAACAGAAAGACAGGGAGAGAAACATCAATCAGCTCTCACACACCCCCAACTGGGGAGCTGACCCACAACCCAGGCATGTGCCCTGAATGGGTATCGAACTGCCAGCTTATGGTTTGCAGGCTAGAGCCCACCCCACTGAGCCACACCAGTCAGAGCTCATCATTTGAGATTTTAAACTGTAGAACATACATACTCTTAAAGGACCCTTTACTTGGTCATCTTGCACCAACTGTGTAGTATTATCCTGTTTCAGGAGTACCTGAAAAACATTTTTGCACAATTCATGTTACTTCTAAAACAATACATTTATGGTAACACTGTAACGTGTTTAATCTATGCTTTCTTAGTATCCTGTGGTTACTCCTGTTATAGTACTTATTACATTGCCTTTTATTTATGTTTATTATCTCTCTCATTAACTGTGAGCTCCTTGAAGGCTAGAGTCCTCCTTCATCACTGTGGGCCCAGCAGTTAGCAAATGTCAATGCATATTACAGGCATTTAATAAATGTTTGTTGAATTAATGAACTATAACTAAGATTATTAAAAACATTTGTATAGGAAAATTACTATAAGGAAACAAAAATTGTGAATAGTATTTCTGAGAGGTAAGCAATTGGCATTAATCCTTTGGTACATTGCTATATTTTAAGTTGTGTACAGGAATATGTTAACTTTTTTTCTGGTTATAAAAATGTCTTAAAAATAAAATTCCTAAATCATTTTAATGCTTTCTTCAAAACACAGTTCCCACTGTATTACTTTTCTAATCACTTGAAATTGTCTCAACGTAGACATTATGAAAAAGGAGAAATAGGTTATAGTCTAAGTAAGCACGATACCACAAATAGGAAAGATCCAAATGATAGGAAGTAACACGAACACGGTATTTTCATGCAAACATTTTGGAATAATTTCTCATTTTGAGTTCTTTATTTCTCAAATTTTAATGTGCCTTTCCTGTAGTTTTATATATAATGGTATTTTCACACAGTAATGAATTCAGTAAGTGAAGTGATGATTCAGTAAATAAACTGTTGATTTGCAGTCTCCCACCTCCCTGATACTTTTCAATCCAGACTTAATAAAGCTGTTGCATAAAAAGAAAAAAAAAATTACCTTAACTTTTACCAGCCTTTTCACAGTCTTAATTTTTGCCTCACAGAAGGCACCTCGGTACTTGGCACTTACATCAGTTCCCACTGTCAGGTAGGCAGGCTCATCCGCCGCCTGATGAAAGGAAGATAAAAAGTGAATTTCACTACTATTTTCCCCTACTCCAACCTCAAGTCTCATTAAAAGGTTGTGTTTAAAGTAATCAAAACAATTAACTCTAGTTGTTTAATATTACTGATAATTTGAAAATATCCCAAAGCAAACACTTTATTAACAATCCTCTATTTTATAAACTATATCCTGATTACATAAAACATTTTACATAGTAACTGAGTATCAGTAGGGAAATACAATAATATTTTTTATTCCAGAGACAAAATATTTCAACCATTTTACAATTTACTTAAGAAATTAAAAATAAGAAAAAACAAACAGAAACATATATACATATTAGGTACCTTGTAAAACTTTAAGTTATTCAATTATAGCTATAATACTTTGTTATTCAATTACATCCTCTGGAAAATTCTGTTTCCAAATTAAAATACAATGCTATTAAAATTAACACCAACAATACATAACTAAATGTTTATTAATATAGCTACATAAAGGCAACATCTTTCTGGATACAGTATAACTGTAGAGATAACAAATGGATTCAATCCTTTTGATAAAGAGAGCACTATTTGAAAAAAAATCATTGTCTAAAAGCTGCATTTTAAAGATTTAAGTCTGATGAATGCAGAGACATAAACTGATGGCTCAAGACTTGCAGCCCTACCAGTTTACCACACTACTCTTTTTGATATATATATATATATATATATATATATATATATATATATATGGCTTTGCTAAGAAATGTCTACTCTTAGGCAATCACCATAAAATACATTGAAAGGTGTGAGAAATTTCATTCTATGATTCATTTTGATCTTAACAATAGCAGAATGACTGCTATCTCAATCTGTCATTTTCCGTTCTTTTTTCTTCAAAAAGTATACTCATACAACTGTGATTCAATATTGCTAAGTACAAAAGTTACAGTGTACATTTTAGAGATATACTTTTAAGTAGAAAATAATTTTCATTTTCCAGTAAGGTTTTGCAAGTAACATTAAAGGTTATATGGGTCACTTCACAGAGATAAGAAAACAAGAGAAAATTTGGAAAAGAAAATGCTGTATTTTAGAACTTACTATCCTGAAACAGTAAACGACTAAGGAATCAAGTATCTTTTAAAGTTAGTGTACATAAAGACTATACTTTCAGGGATCATTTCTACAGTTCGTTACTATAGTTAGTGTATTTACAAATAATGCAAATTGAAAAGGAGTATCTTTAGCAAGTCAACACTGAACATCTGACTTGAAACATCCTATGCTACAACACTACAGACTGTTACACCTTCCTTTCCCTTTAAGCCTCACATATGTTTGCAAGATTAGTTGTCTTCAGAAGTATACATATATTTATTAGGTTGGCTATATTTAATCATATTTATTATAACAACTGAACTAGAACTATTAGTTTTAGTTCACCTTCAAATATTTTAGCCACAGAATTTCACTTTATCCCCAACAAGAATGATATCTCCCTTACACGATCACATATTGTTCCTTAGAAAATCACACTGACACTGGGGAAGAATAAAAATTTCAAAAAACTACCCCAAAGAACCAAAGCAGGACAAAAGCTTTACTTCTGCAAAGGTTGCTGCCAACACAGGAAGTGTTTAAAAATACTAGCCCAATGGACAACAATGGAAAGGCTGCAACAGCCTTTCCAAAGTGCTAACTGCTTCAGAGAGGGGCCGAAATGACTGCATTTAGACACAACGATCATTTCTCACCCATTCAATACGCCCTCCTTTTCAGAAAGCGCTGCTTAGTAGAGGAATCAATTTTGAGCAGCAAAAAAAAAAAAAAAAAAAAAGGCATTCTACACAGCACTAGCCTCTAGACAGGCTGTGTCCAGGGCACGAGGTTCACAGCGGCGATGACTCCACTTACCTTCATTTTTATTGGTGACCTATGGGGTTCCAGCTCAACCAGCTAAGTACTCCGTCGCTAGAACCATGGAGGGGAGAAAGACAAGCCAGAATCAGTCCAGAGGGGAGCGACTCGAGGAAAGAAAGTAAACAAATGCCAACGGGGAAGGGCAGAACCCTCACCAGCAATGGGATAAGAAGATCCCCTCCGAGGGTAACTGGGACACAGGGGCGGAGGGTGCAGCGAGAACGCCGCGGGCGCCTGTTCCTCCCTGGACTTCGCCAGCGGCCCACCGCGCCCCCGCCTCGCTCGCCACTTTGACCCGGAATGCTCAACTCGGATCCCCAGGACCAATCGCTCTGGAAAAGGACACGGCGCTGTCTGGGCTTCCCGTACTCCCCGATAGGCGCGGTCGCCCAGTCTTTGCTCGGCCGTCCCCCGGATACCCCGACTTCGGCCCGCGCCCCGCCTCCGCCGCTCGGCCCCCTTGGCCCGCCCCGGGCCCGCGGTGGCGGCAGCGGAGTGTCACGGCGCCATTGCTCTCCTTCCTCCGCTCTGCACCATGTCAGAAAGAAGCGCTTCTTCACCCGAAGTGGCACGGGCCGAGGCCTTCAGCGGGAAGCGCGAGGGTGAAGGGAGACCCGCGCAGAGGAAGGGGGCTGGGAGGGCGGAGAGGAGGAGGGAGGTGGCTCGGACAGTGTGTGGGAGGGGAGGGGAGCCGCACAGCGGCAGCCGCCGCCTCCTCCCAGCGCCCGCCTCAACTTTTTGTACAGCCCAAAGAGGTACCTGCCCCCGGCCTCTCGGGTCCTGCTACGGACTCCACACTGGAGGACGCACCGCGGAGTTGGGGGCCAGCTCCCCAAAGCAGCCCGCTCTTCACGGCACGGAAGCAAACTTAGCAGCGCAGCCAGCCCCACAGCCATTTTCCCGGGGAAGCGGCCGAGGCTGCGGCGGCGGTTCCCGCACTTGCTATAGCTGCTCCACTACTTGCTCCTTCCCCGGCGCTCAACGCACCGCTTGCCCAGCACCTCCTTCCCCACCTCAAAAGCTTCCGACTGCACTGGGACCCCAGGCAGAAGCAGCAGCTGCTACTGCCGTTTGGTCCATTCAGTATCCCCCACTTCCCTCCTCCCCACCTACCAACTGTGGATGAAGTGCGCGCTGTCAGCTCCCGAGGCCTCCGCCCCACGGACCACCACGGGCCCCCAGCTAGGCAGCACCACTCCTGACCGCGGCGGCAATTCCTGCGCCCGGTTCCCCACTCGTCCGATTTACTGCCACAATCCACCAAATAACAAGCTGTTGAGCAGGCTCGCTTCTACACGAACTCTCATTGGCTGCTCATGACGCCGAACCGCTTCAGATTGGAGATCGCTACCTGCCTTCCTCATTGGATGTGACTCTAAAACTTCACGGATTGGTGCGAAAAACAGCAGGTAGGACATCTTCCACTTATGATTGGCTGCTTCCGAGGTCTAACATTACTGGAGAATCAGATATTGAGTAAGCAAGTACTGAAAAAGGATTGGTAGGAAAGATTCCGGATGTGCTTAATTGAGCACTGATTGGTAAATTGAGGGGTCAGGAAGAACAGTTCCGCACAAGGATTGGCACTGGAGTGTCCCATGGAAACCGAACCCAGAACTGCGGCCAGGACTTTCACGGGGGCGGGACAGAGTCTTTCCAAGGCGCATGCGCTAAGCCTGTTTCTCGGCGCCATTTTGTCTGGGCTGCTGTGGCCACAGATCTATCGCGTTTCATGTTTGTGGTGAGACGATAGGGAAGTCCTTCTCCCGTAGATTCTATTTAGTGCGGCACCCGTCAGCGGTTCCCTCCAGAACAAGACCTAATGAAGATCGGAGGAATAGCGGGTCTGTTTGAAAGGTCAGTTGGAACCTATGGTTGTCCGATTGACTGGGGGATGGCGCAGCTTTAGCGGCACCGGAAGTGAAGGGGCCACTGGGCAGCCATGGCAAACTTCTCCTTGAGGCGGGGTGGGAAGTGGAGGGCGGGATGAGAGGGGGCGAGGCTTTCTCTCCCGCCGCGAGAGAGAAAGAGGCGCGGGGGAAGTCTCTTTTTCTGGGCTGGTCTTTGGCATTATCTAGAGGACACGAGAGGTTTTCCGGGGTCTGCTGCTGTCGGAACAGCTCATTCTCCCTTTGGAAGTGTATTTCGGGAATTTGTCACATTGTCAACCAAGTGCCACTGGCTGTGGGCTCCTTAATTAAGACTGGGAAGGGAAAGATTCTTAGACACAGTGCGTGGGGACAGGTGTTTCCGCGTGCTCCTCACGGGATTAAGCTCTGGGTTTCGGGATGCCGAGGAATTCATGTGCTAGCACAGACGTTGCTATTCTGACCTTAGTAGCTGTTCCCCACTCCACGAAGCTTATCCTAATTTTTGAAAGGAAAAAGCAGCGGTTTTGCAGGAACAGAAAGCACCTTAGTTAAAAAGGACCTCCCGGTAGGACTAATTTCAGGATAGCCATTGGTGGTGGTCTCTTAGCAAAATCCTGTATTCCGTTAAATGATCAAAAACACATTTGAAATGGTGGAAATGGAGCAAATTGTTACAAAGAATGAAGTAAGGAAATAAAAAATACCGTTAATGGTACACGTTGAAGAAATTTACTTGAGAACAGCTTAAATAAAGCCGAATCAGTTTTTCATTCATAACAGTGATTTTTCTCAAAATTAAGAGTGAAATATGTTAGTATTTCTATTGAGTAATCTAGTGGCACTGATCTCTGTAGCTTTGTAAAAAATTATCCTTATAATACCTGTTTTGAACGCTGTGGTTCAGTGACTTAATAATTTACTGAGTTTTGTTGGCAGTTGGTCTGAAGATAACAGGACCTCTCAGGAAGTGTTACTGAGGTGAGTTGTAATATCTGTAAAACTCTAAAATTGGGGAGGGTGCCTGGAAAAATTTTTTGTGGACCAATAAATAAGAGCCGTAAGTAGCAAAATGGAAGGATGGTCTTTGAAAGGTGTTCTGTTTGGTGAAGGGTTCAAATGAGTTTGTACAATTAGCTACCAGGTGTGGTATTTTTTTTAGAATGAAACTCAAAAGTGAGGACATATGAATTCGTCTACTCATTCATGTATTTCCCATTTCTGGATTTTTAAGTACTTCATATTTTTATTATGTAATAATAGGAACATTTTTATGATTTTTTTTGTCCCAATTTAAAAATCTGGTATATAAAAGTGATATTTCAGTAAGAGTTTGGAAGTGATTTTTTTCCCTTAGGGAAGTTATAAAACAGTACTGCTGAACTTCCAGAGGTAACCACCTCCAATTCTACTACACAACTTCTAGCTGTTACTATCCAATAACACATCAGTGGGCATTTGTAAATTTCTAAAAAGCAAAAAGAAGTATGTAAAAACCTCTTGTATTCCTTCTACCAAAAGGTAATTATGGTTTATACTATACTTAACATATTATAAAAAGGGGTTTCATTTTTCATTTGTTTTGTATTACCAAATAAACATCATTGGAGCTCATTTTATCACCCATGTTTATTTCTTTATAGAAAATATTGGGAACATAAGAAATACTTTGTTCTTAAACTGTTTTCATGGCTGCATAGTGTTCTATAGAAAAGGTATGCAATAATTCATATATCCTGATATCTTGTTTTTTATTACAGCAATATGTCTGAATATCTGTAAGATTTTGACTAAGCACTGATATCTATGGGTAAAATTCCTAGGCCTCAAACTTTTCCTTCACATCCCTGATTTCTTTAGACTCAATTCCTGGAAGTGGAAGTATAAGGCCAAGGGGATTATACATTTAAGGCTTTTGATCCTTGTACAGTTTTCCATCAAAAAACTTTTGCTTTGCCCTGGCTGGTGTGGCTCAGTGGACTGAGTGCAGGCCTGTGAACCAAGGGTCTCTGGTTTGATTTCCAGTCAGGGCACATGCCTGGGTTGCAGGCCAGGTCCCCATTTGGGGGCACCCGGAGGGAACCACACATTGATATTTCTCTCCTTTTCCCCTTTCTAAAAATAAAGTCTTTAAAAAAAAAAACAAAACAAAAACTTGTTCTTACTGCACTTGCATTTTTGTTCTTTTTGCTTTTACTACATTTTCTCCAATTTTCTGGGGTTTTTTACTAGCTTTATTTTTCAATTTATCTCCTTGGTCTGTGTTTATTCAAGTAGAATTACTACAGCCTTTAAGTCACACGTGTAGTAAAATTTGAGAATTTTTATTGCATCTTAGGAATAATTTCTTAAAACTAACTTATTTTTTTTACTCTAAATAGTTAGGCATTTATGCAGTGAAACATTCTTCTACACAGAAATGGGATTTAGAGGTTGTCAAAAACATGAGTTTAACTGTTTTGTTTCCTGTAGCCCTCCCTAAAATTTTCCATTCTTATGTGCATTCTCTTGTTGCTTTTGTACCCTCATAAGGACCCTTTACATGCCCCTCATAATCTTTACTTAGCAATGGTTTGGCTCTTCCCCAGTTTAAGACACTACTTCCAGAGGACAGCAGTAGGGGTTTTAATCACTGCTATGTTTGCCTGCCTAGTGCATGATGGATGCTCTGTCAATATTTCTTATAAATCTGTATGCACTTTCATATACAAAATATATAAAATAAGCTCTTAGGTTTTCTTTAACAGTCATTCATTTCTAAGAATTCGTGCTGTTCGGCAGATGCTGTCTTAACCTTCAAAATATTTTTAGTGGTCCAAATATCTGATTTAATACCAAATGGATTTGTAATTACTAATGTAATGTAAATTTAGAGAAGTCATTAAGAATACGTGGCTGATGTAGCTCAGTGGATTGAGCATGGGCCTGTGGACCAAAAGATTGCTGGTTTGATTCCCAGTCAGGGTACATGCCTGGGTTTTGGGCCAGGTCCCCATTTGGGGGTACCCAGGGGCAACCACACATTGATCTTTCTCTCCCTCTCTTTGTCCTTCCCTTCCCCTCTCTCTAAAAATAAATAAAATCTTTGAAAAACAAAATCCTGCCCTGGCTGGCATGGCTCGGTGGATTGGGCGCGGGCTGCGAGCCAGGCATCGCGGGTTCGATCCCTGGTCACGTTGCATGCCTGGGTTGTGGGCCGTGGCCCCCAGCAACTGCACATTGATGTTTCTCTCTTTCTCCCTTCCCTCTCTAAAAATGAATAAGTAAAATCTTTAAAAAAATAGTTAAAAAAAAAAGAAAGGAAAACAAAATCCAAAAGAATAGTTTTTTTAAGTCCTGACTGGTGTGGTTTAGTTGATTGGGCATCATCCCACAAAGCGAAAAGTTGTGGGTTCCTTTCCTAGTCAGGGCACGTGCAGGGTTGTGGGTTAGTCCCTCCTAGTGAGAGGCAACCGCTTGATGTTTCTCTCTCACATAGATGTTTCTCTCCCTCTCTTCCCCTCTCTCTACAAATGGATTTTAAAAATCTTTTAAAAACAAGAATTATTCAAGATTTTGGTTCCTCAGTTTTTTAAAAGGGGATTTTATGATCTGTTACAAGCAGCTGTAACTAAAGTCACCAGACCATCTCTTAGGTATGAATGAAAAAAAATTGTGTTAGAAATGTACTTTGTAACCAGTTTCAACAGGCCCAAATTAATTTATAAAAGTTTCCTACAAAATGAAAATTGTGAGATTCTTAATTGCTTCTATTGATGAAATGCTATTTTAAATGCAGAATGTTTTATTTATTTGGTCAGAAGTTTTGATGAGTCTATATAGTCAGTCTCCCAATGTAGTATATTTTAGACTGAAATTGCAAAATTAGATCATCCCTGTGAATTTGTTTACCTATACACATGGATTTCATTTCTGAATTCTTAATCACAGAATACTGTGAATACTTTCATGTTTTTTTGTTTGTTTTTACCTGTGGTAAAATACTTGACATATAAAGATCTTATTGGTGAAAGTGTTTAAAAGTGAAGAAATTTTTTCTTTAATGGAAATTTTAAAACTGTTCTGATTATGTGGGCTATATAATATAGCATACTCAAATCTAAAAGAAGTTTTTGTCTTCTAGAGTGAGTTTAATTTTTTATAACTCTTGAAACATTGCTGTGTTGTTTTTCAGAAGAGTTATAATTTACACTGTCATGGTCCCTATGAGTTTAACTACCACCTTTGGGTAGTCTAATCATTTTTGCTAATTTGATAGGTGAAACGTATGTTGCATTCTCCTTTTCTTGGTTAACTACTGAGGTTGGACCATTTTCTATAACTCCACTTACTGATGATTATTAGTAATAGATATCTTGTCTACTCAAGACTTCAGTCTATTTATGTAGCAGCTTACCACTTTTTAAAATCTTTTGAGTCTATTAAATACTATTCAGTAGTAATTTGGTGCAGATACTTTTCCATTTAGAATTTCTGTTTAACTTTAGATATTTAGTTGAGGATTTTGGAACAGACACAGAGGGGTATGATATACACAAAATATATTACTGGAAAATTATTTGGAAACTGTGTCCAGTGTGTCTGAAGAAATGACACAAGAATTGGAGGTAGGGAGACAATTAAGATACTGTTGCAGTTGTGTCAGCCTAAGATGAAACTGGGGTAGGACCTGGAGAGAGGAAGGAAGAGGTGAGCAAGCAAAAGAGTTGAGAGCATTTGACCTCTAGCTGATTATAAAGGTAAGAAGAAAGGAAACAAAACACTCAAGATTTTAAAGAGCAGGGAATAGATGGTAGTATTAACTAATTTGGAAAGTCAGGAGAGACTTCTCGTTGGTAAGGAAGATGAAATCAGTTTTAAACATAACAAGTTAGAGTTTGGAAAGTCTAGTAAGCATCTGTTGTTCTTTTGTCAAAGGGTCTATGAGGTCCCTAATTGGGACAAGGCATATACTGAACCTTATGTTGTTTTCTGTATTTTGACTTTTTGTTTTGTTCTTCAATGGGGTGTCCAACCTTTTACCATCTCTGAGCCGCACTGGAAGAAGACTTGTCTTGGACCACACATTAAATACATTGCGACATGTCATCACACAAAAAATATCTCATAATGTTTTAATAAAATTTATGATTTTGTGTTGGGCAGCATTCATAGCCATCCTGAGCCACAAAAGGCCCGTGGTCTGCAGGTTGGACACCCCTACAGACTTTGTTGCTTTTATCAGGACTTGCTTATTTCTGATTTTTAAAGTACTATTTGAAAAGTTAAAGCAAATTAATAGTAAACCGTGTTCAGGGAAATATTTATTTTTAGAGAGGGAGAAGAGAAGGAGAAAGAGAGGGAGAGAAACATGGATGTGTGAAAGAAACCTTGATCAGTTGCCTCTTGTAGGTCTGCAGCCTGGGACCTGCCCTGCAACACAAGCATGTGCCCTAACTGGGAATCGAACCAGTGACCTTTCAGTTTGTGGCAGGATGCCCAACCCATTGAGCCACACCAGTCAGGGCAAAACCAGATGATTCTTAAATTAAACTAAAATTAAGGGGAGGTTAGTTGTTCATGCTTTTAAAAAGTAGTGTTAAGAGAGCATCTTACAGAATATAAGGAAGCTTTTATTTGTATTTTATTACGATTACTAATTTTATCACCCAAGGACATTTTTTCATCGCTTAAAGAAGGAAAGATACTGGTTGCCTTCTTATATGTGCTCTGACTGGGGCTTGAACCCGCAACCTGGGTGTGTGTCCTGACATGGAATAAGACCTGTGACCTTTTGGTCAGTGGGACAATGCTTCAACCAACTGAGCCACACCAGCAAGGGCAGGATGCTTTTAAGCTGTTAAGATAGATATGTGCCATGAAGTATCTTTCCTCTTCCTCGGTGGATTGAGTTTGGTGTGTTCTTTCAATTTTAATAAAATGTAGAGCAAAAACAGATGTAATTCTATGAAACATGAATGCTTAGCCAAGATTCTTTTAAATATATGAAACCCAAGTAAAGATGTTAATTGTCTTATTTTTGTAAGCCCCTTTTATTTCAACAGATGAAATGTAAGTGTTCTTTTTAAGGAAGGACTTTGACAACTAGACATGTAAATATGGAGTAGGCTGACTTTTAAGTGTTTTTCAAGAGGCAGCATTTAATTTAGATGGTTAATTTCCCATGTTCTGTTCCTTCCTTTTCCCCTAAGACTTCAAAAAAATGTGTTCTGCTAATTAGCAATGAAAAGGTTACTTTTTTGTTTTAGAGAAAAAATTTTTCTTTTTGACTTGGCTTTTTAATTTGTATTTTTTTATAAAACCTAAACTTCTAGGGTTAGTATATGTATGAAATTTGAGCTATTTTGTTGTTTATATCAAGACTCTTTTTATCTCACTTAATAAATTATGTATAAAAAGGTTTCCCATCATAGTGCTAGCTTTGAGTTACAAAGATACATGCTATTAATAAACTGAGGAAAAAGTAATTAATACATTTAGAAACATAACATTTGTGCATTAGTTTTTCTGCATTCTTAGTTTTTAATGACTGTGTATGTTTAATTGCTTCTCTTTCCTTATTCTTATTTTAATTTTTTTTTTTTTTTTTGGTGCTTCCACTGGGACACAAATTGCTTTTCTTTTCATTAACCCCTTTTCTCTGGTACCGATGGTTTTTCAAAGACTGTCATTTGAGTTACACCATGTCTTCTCACCAGATCTTCTCCATACCTCC